TAAATGTCCCTCGAGGTTGGACCTGGTCCATGTAAGGCCAGAGCTTAGGATGCTGATTCATGGATTAAATTGGGAAAATACTGGGCTTATTTTATGAGTTATCCATTGAAATCAACAACTCAAGACCAGTAAGGATTGATAGCTTAAGGGCTGGCAAACTACGTATGGCATACATGGTAGATGGGATGATTTTGAATGGTAGAAGAGAGAACCTTTTTCCTCTTTTCCTCAAACTCCATTCATTTGCTAGAACTCAGAAGTCTTTTCTCAGATGCATGGTGGGAGTCAAAAACCATGGTATGAGATATTTGTCAGGATTCAGAACTGTACAACCTTCTTACACAATAGACAAGTGAGGAAAAGGAGGAAGGGAGAATACAATAATTTGGGATATATATATAATAAGGGAGTGAGGTAGAGGAGGAGGGAGGGTGGGTAGGGCCAAAGCAAGTGAAAGGGAGCTCAGAGACTGGAAAGGCTTTACTGGCCACGTGTAGGGCTACCCCTACATATAATTAAGGCAAGATTGTCTCTGGGCTGGACTGGGGAATGGCAGGCTTTACACCAGTCACCTTCCTCTCAAGCTTCCTTGCTGTTGCTGGCATCCTGTAAGCAAGACCTCCAGAGACCATGCCCTAGAGAAGCTAAATCACTCGGCTTTGAAACTCTGTGCTATCCTGATTGACGAGACCCCACTATATCTAGCCAGCATCTCTTCCTCTATCCCTACTTTCCACTTCTTGCTCAAAGAACAGTAATCAAATTAACACTACCATTATTTCTGGAAAGACAGTGTCAAATGACTACCCTATGGCTATGTTCATCATCTCTGTGACTTCTCAGATCACAACACTCTTTCCTAGCCATAAATCCCTTATTGTTTTCTCCTCCTATTAGAATATTAGCTCTTTGAGGGCAAAGATTACCTCTCTTTTGTATTTGTATCTCTAGCATTTAACACCTTGCCTGAAACACAGCAAGTATTTAATAAATTATTTTTCATGCATTCATACATCCATGTATTCATTCATTCAAGATAGGCCTCATCCCCTAACCTGTTTTTTCTCTTTGTCTCCCCACCCCTTGCACTCATTTGCAGGGAAGTGCACAAAGGGTTTTGAGACTGAGAAATTGCTGTACCCTGAGAGCTCTAGCAGTTTGTTTGGTGGGGGGAGCCTCTAAATGGGATATTTAATACTGTAAGAGGGGCCAGGCAGCCCAATCACCCAACCCCACTTAACATAAGTGACAAGATGCTACATGTTGTCATTTAACCAGATGAGAATATCAAGATTGTTCAGTAGGTGTGAACAAGGTTTGAACTAGGCTTTAGGTTAAATGAGAAAAGTAAAACCATTGGATGACCTGTAGTGAGCTGCAGGGGAGCTTTATTTGGATTGGCTGAGGTACCTGTTCTTGCCTTAAAGGGCTTATATAAAACCAGCAAGCTAGGTAGAATAAGGTACTTGAGCATCTGCTAGTAGAGAGAAACCTTCAGCCGAATGCTTGAGAAGGAACTGTTTGGAGTCAGAATGGGGATGGCACCTTGACTTCGGCCTCAGCCTCTGAGTCCTAGCATTGTCCTCCTTGGACTAGAGATGGTGACAGCTACTGTCAGTGGTCTACAGTAGGAGCTGAGGATAGACTGGATTGGTTGCAGTGAGGAAGGGCAATCACAAGAGTCTACAAGGAGTCCAGCAGACCAGCTTTATTATACAGAATGGTGGTAACTTGAGGACTTCAGAAAAAGAACTGGGAGCTGTGTCAAACGTGAACACTATGCTTGAGCCCACTTTCCCCTGGGCTCTATATGTACTTGTTGGAGAGTGTCAGACTTTTGGGGGCAGTATTTTGTACCAACTTTGTCACCATAGAAAATACTTGTTTCTAAAAGATAATTGAGTATGGCAGATTAATATCAATTCATAATCATGGGGGAGGACCTATCCAGGTGTGGGCTCACTGAGCTATGGAAGATTTGAAGTACACCACCAATCCCTTTGATAGGGATACCCTTAGATACCTTAAGGACCTTAGACACCCTTAGAACCCTGAGGGGAAATGTAGTAGCTCCTCTGGGGAGGACCTAGCCTGTATGTAATAGCTCTGGAGTATGTGCTACTCCAGGCACTAAAGATTAGAACAAGGAGACAAAAGGAATGCCCCCTTTCAGCTACAGTAAGATGTTTAACAGAGAGGCAAGCCCTGGTGACTAGAAAGTCTGCTTCTAAAGGTAGACTTGAAGCTGAGGGCATTAGCTATTTAGCTGAGTGATCCTATTTTGTATGCTGAAGCTAGGCAGCACAGTGGATAGAGTGCCAGGCTTAGCTAGGATCAGGAAGAACTAAGTTCACATCTGGCCTCAAGACACTTACTAGCTGTGTGACCCTGGGCAAGTCACTTCACTCTGTTGGCCTCAGTTTCCTCATCTATAAAATGAGCTGGAGAAGGAAATGGCAAACCATTCCAGTATCTCTGCCAAGAAAACCCCAAATGGGGGCATGAAGAGTCAGACATGATTGAAATGACCAAACAACAAAACAACAAACATGTAAAGAGCTTGGGTGAAGGAAACATACAGACTACTCCTGGAGGAAAAAACAACAAAATCCTCCTCCCTTGCCCCATAGCTGAGGTGGTTTAGTGCGGTAAGGTTTGATGATTTTCTGCAAGGGCTGTAGAAAGCCTTGGAGTTTTAAATTTTATCTTTTATTTTATTTTTAATTTATGGAATAAAACAAGCATTTCTGTCACATAGTACAATAAAAAATAAAGATGACTGCACATGAAACTACAATCTGTTATGTACAACTTACTATTCCTTTTAAATATATCATAAAGTTATCATGTAAATTTTTTAAAGGTAGAGACCACTTTTCTCATGATGGAGAGAAATCATGCTCCAGCTGAGAACCCCAGAATCTGGAACAGAACGAAGAGCCAGATCTGGTAGCTGTGGGACTAGTGACAGAGTGTTTGGCAGGCTGGGGTGCTATACAGAGACTGTGTTCCCGGGGTAGACCAGGAGGGAGCAGCCCAGGGAAAACAGTTCCAGAGCTTTTCCTGAAGCACAGATCTAATCATGTCATTAAACTCTCGGGGAATCCAGGATCAGACACAAACTCTTCTCTTGGGCATTTAAATCCCTCTAGCTCCAACCTCTCCACATCTAGTCTGTCTCTGGATATTCACATAGGATACTATATAATATAATAATAATATTAACATTAACAATAATGTAATATTTACATAGCAGATTTGTTTGCAAAGCACTTTACATATATTGTTACATTTGACCCTCATAATAACCCTGTAAGCTAAGTGCTATTATTATCCCCATTTTACGGACAGAAAAAAAAAATAATTGAGGCTGAAAGCATTTAAGTGACTTGCCCAGAAATCATCTAAGGCAGGATCTGAATTCAGGTCTTCCTGACACCAAATCCAGCACTCTTTTATTTCCCTACCTCCATGCTTTTGCACAGATTATCCTCCCATGCCTGGAATTTACTCATTCCTGACGTTCTGCCTTTCAAAATTTCTAGGTTCCTTCAAAGCCCAGCTCAAGTAAGTTTTGCCTCCTACATGAGGCCTAGGCTAATCTCCCAACTATAGTGTCTCTCCCACTTCCTCTCCCACAATTATTTTGTAAATACTCATATACAAAATATACTGTCCCTCTGATGGGTGGAGCTATGAACTCTAAAGCACCATTTAAGGGGAGAGGCCAGCTGGGACATCTCAGTGCTTAGCTGGCTGCACTACTTTGGGACTTCTTGAACTTGACCTAGCCTCAGGAGACTCATTATTGGGATAAACTCATCATCCGGTAGGGTCTTATTAACCTTGGGCCTCCAACTCCACCAGGGCTTCCACCTCTTGGATTGGAGGGTGGAGCCATGAACTTCAAACCTCTGTTTGAGGAACAGAGTTCAGTTCCCACATCTCTTTTCTCCCGTGGTTGCTCTACCCTGGCATTTCTCTACCACGGCTCAGCAGGTACTTTCTTATTCCCTCTTTCCCGAACACTTTTCAGCTTCCTTTCGTGTGTGTCTTCCCTCATTAGAGTATAAGCTCCTTGAGGGCAGGGACTTTTTTTTTTTATATTTGTAGCCTCAGCACTTAGCATGGTGCCTAGCACATAATGAGGCACTTAATAAATGTTTATTGACTATTGATTATAAATACACACATTGTGTCCTCCAATAAAATGTGAATTTCTTGAGGGCAATTTCGTTTTTGTCTTTGTATCTCAATTTCCTAGCAGAGTTTTTGGCACAGTTGTTGCTTAATTTAATACAAACCTGTTTTGGGTTGTTTAAATGCCTTTGCTTGAATGAATTATGCCCTCAGGCTAATACAAGTTAACACATTAGCAGGGTCTCATGGGTTATGGTTTTGAATGTACAGAGTACTGTGAACTTGGGGTAGCCTCCTCTGGAAGAGCCCTCATGAAAATTATGGGGTGCCCCCCAGGTGCTACCTAAGAGGAGGGCAACAATGTGTCCATCTAAGGTACTCTAACACCACTCACCAGGTCTGTATGGGAATCTTCAACTCAGTGACTCCTGATGCTCTTAGACAGAGCCCTGGCCTCCCCACTTTAGAAGAGGATAACAAGGGGGTCCATTCATGTCTGCAGTTAAGACAAATTTGCTTTATTTTGTCTCATATTCCAGTTGTCTTTGCATTAATAGCATGGCGACTTTTGCCTCATCTTGAATATATAGTGGCCTTCTAAATGTTAAGATGAGTTTGCTGATGTGTTCAGATCTGAAATTAAATGACTGCATGAAATCTTGGCCGGTCACTTCCATAGGGCTGCAGACTCCTGAAATGAGGCACTACTGATACCTGGTGACTGTTGCATTTTACTCTGGAATCAGCGCCCACAGAGGTTTGCTCTTTAACTCCCTAGGCGGAAAGAGGTAAAAATGAAGTGGCTCCACCTTCCAAGTTACTGCCGCTTTAAGGGGGCAGGGCTCATCAGTTCCCGGAAGTCCTTCCATGCCCGTAGTTCAATCGTGCTTCAGTTTGGTTTCTCAGGGTAGTCGGCCTTTGATCTCAGAAACAGGGTTGTGCTGGCCGCTGAGAGCCAGGGCTGGCCATCCTAAAGTAATCGGAGCCAGGGCAGTGAGGAACTGCTCCGGGTCAGAGGGGCCACAGTCTCCCAGGGATGCCAGCTTGCCCTTGGGAATAAACCCCATTTTAACTTCAGAGCCAAGGAAACATGCAGAGGGGAGGGAAACTGATCAGGTGGGGCAGGCTGTCAACTGGGTGAAATGTACCAGCGTGGGGTGGTGAGGCCATCACCAGGCCAGGGAGATTCATTCAAGGGGTGAAGTGCTAGGGCAGACGCTGACCGCTCCCTGTTGCCAGCCAGATCTCTTCTGACGGAGGTTAGGTTGTGGGTTTCGTAGCTAGGAGTCTACACTTGCTGGCCTGCCTGGAGGGGGTTGGGGCAGAGAATCTGAAGGTTTGGCCTGGCCTCCCCCAGGTGGGGGGGAGCAAGCAAGAATCCATGCTATTGCTTGGTAGGGGCGAACCTGATGTTCACAGTTGCATGGGGGAATCAGTTTAGCTATGATCATTTAGTTGTGGCCATTTAATCCCTCCCAAGATGGAGACAAGCCAAACAGCTGCTCCTTGATAGCCCAAGGGAGCTGGGTGTCCCTGGTATTTAGGAAAGAAAAGAACTGAAAATGCTTGCCTTCGTTTGCAGGGGCATCATGACTTCTTGGCGATTCTCTATCAAGACTTACCTGTCCCACCTAAGGTGCTTTGAGGTCAGGCAGAAATCTTGTTTGCTTAGATGGAGATGCAGACAGATTGTATGCCCACCCAATTCCAGGATTTGCTGGCTTCTTTTGGGCTCATTACCCAAACTCATTTTGACTTCAGGAGGGATCGTGATGGTGTCCCCTGGAAACTGGGGTCAGACAGGTACTTGTAAGAGCACCCCTAAGGAAGTCAGGTTGGCAGGCAACCTTTCCAAAACTGGGTACGTAAACTGTCTTTTCTTGAATTTTGCCTTTGGCCTCCGAATATGGCTCCGGGCCTGTGTTCTGCTGGTGAAATTCACCCCTCTTCTTCTGCTCTACCCTTTCACCTGCCTGGTTCCCAGCTTCTATACCCTCTGGCTGAACTGGCTTTTGATGGCTACGGAGTCCTCAGGCCCCACATACATCAAACTGGGCCAGTGGGCAAGCACCAGGCGGGATCTTTTCTCCGAGGAGTTCTGTACCAAGTTCTCCCGGCTGCATGTTCAAGTGGCCCCCCACACATGGGCTCACACCCAGAGCTTGCTCCAGAAGGTGTTTGGGAGTGAGTGGGGGCGAGCCCTTCACTTTGAGAGTCAGCAGCCGGTAGGCTCAGGCTGTGTGGCCCAGGTGTACAAAGCTTATGTGGATACTGCCTTCCTCGACCATGCCTGCTTCCAGAAACTTGTGGAGGCCTCTAAGGGGACCTCCTCTTTCGAAGCCTGGGAGGTGGCAGGCCTGGGGAGGCTCTTAGGATATTTTTGGAAGGGGCAGAAGCCTAAAGGGACATTGACAGATCAAGCTTTTCCAGAAGATCTACTTCTCCCCATGTCCTACCTGACTGCATCAAAACGAGACACATCTCTTACCCCACCTGCTGACTGTCTACGTGGGCCAAAACACCTCATCCCAGCAGCTATTAAAGTAAGTTCGTGCTTTTCTGGTGGGTCCATATCCCCTGCCTAACCAGGTCCTTTTCCTCCTCCAAAACTACTAAAGAGTTCCAGTTATGCCCTGGAAAAATTCCTAGATTAGCCCTACTCATGTGCCAAGGCCTTCTTCTGCATCCCCTCCACTCATTTCTGTGGTTCAAACACATTTTTGCCAAGTGCCTGCATGGTACCATACATAACTTATAGATTTAATTGGTAACTTAGACTTATGGAACATTAGCAGTATAAGGGTCATAGAAATCATCCATTCTAACCTTTCTAATTTGATATATGGGGAAACTGAAGTTACTTGTCTAATTGGTTTCCCTTAGTTCTCTGAATAGGAAGATCAAAGTGCTCTTCTATGGTTCTGGAGAAGACTGCACTGAAAATGCTAATTGAAGCGATGATTGCTGAGCACGGGGGGATCTGGAACCCAGCTTCTGCCTAGCCCTAGTCCAGTGTGTACTAGAAACGTTGCTGGCCAGTATAGCATATCTCAGCCGCAGGTCAAGGAATGGCAAGCAGGGAGATATCTGATGAATGTCTTACTTTTGCCTTGGTGTGGCGCCAACCTGGTTTCATGAACCTTGTAAGCATTCCACGTAACATGGCTGGAAGTGCCCTGCCCTGGTCACTGCTGCACCTTTTTCTACTGTAGGTGCTACATCCTGGGCTCCTTGCTCAAGTACAGGTGGATTTGGTACTGATGAAGACAGGCAGTCAAATCCTCGGACTCATTCCTGGAATCAAGTGGCTCAGCTTGACTGAGATAGTACAAGAGTTTGAGAAGCTCATGGTCCAACAGGTGAGCATATCTGGGGCCTCCCCTACTGTACAGCAGTTATGGGAAGTGTACATGAAGTAGACTGAATGTGCCATATAGAACGACTAATGACCAGCAAGTGTAAGTATAGTATGTGTCCAGTAGAGAAGGGCTTGAAGACCAAACTCTGGCCTGCTGCTTGTTCTGAATACACAACATTCCATCCTCTTCCATGCCTTGGACAACCTCCAGGCAAGGTCATCTTTGCCTCATAGATTCCCCAGCTTCCTTCAGGCAAGGCTCAGGTTCAATCTCTTACACAAGGTCTTTCTCAGTCTTTCCAGGAGTGATCTCTCTCTTGAAATTGCTTTGTATAATTTTGTGTTTACTTACATTAGAAGATCTGTGTCCCAGGGACATAGGGTGGCCCATGTAATGTGAGAAAATAGATATCTGAGATTTGGGGAGAATACGGTTTCCATGTTTATGGGGAGGAGGAGGAGGAGGAGGAGGGCCATGTCTAGGAGTGCACTCTTTCCCTCTCCTATCTCTAAGAGGGATTTTGATCTAGAATTATATCTATCTTCTATTCCCTTTGATGTGTTATCCTCCTCTATCATAACATGAGCTCCTTGCGGGCAGGGACTCTGTCAGGGACTGCTTCATATTTGTCTTTGTACCCTGGTATCTAGCACAGTGCCTGACACGTAGAAGGTGATTAATAAATGTTTATTGAATTGAATTGAAGAAAGTATAACAAACAAATTCATATGCTATGTTTTTGTTTTGCTTGCTGCCACTAGAGCTTATCATTTGAGTAGCTAAATGCAGGACAGCTAGGTGGCTCAGTGGACAGAGTGCCGGGCCTGAGTTCAAATCTGACCTCAGATACTAACTGTGTGATCCTGGACAAGCTACTTCAGCCTGTTTGCCTCAGTTTTCTCATCTGTAAAATGAGCTGGGGAAGGAAATGGCAAACCACTCCAGCATCTTTGCCAAGAAAACCTCAAATGTCATGAAGAGTCAAACGTGACTGAAATGACTCAACAGGAACAAAAGTTAAATGCAAAGTAGTTTGAAGGAATCAGGAAAGGCATCCTGTGGGAAATAATGCTTAAAGGGCATCTTGGAAGAAGAGAGGGATGCTGTGTGCATTTTGGGCATGGGTTATGGCTAGTGCAAAGCCATAGAGATGGGACATGGAGTCGTGTTCCAGGATCTGAGAGAAGGCCAGTTTGGCTGCATTGCAGTGTGTGTGTGTGGTGGGGAGTAGTGGTCAATGAGATTGGAAGAGAGTTGAGGGCCAGACTGTGAGGGGCTTCAGAAGCTAAACAAAGTACACCTTCATCTCTCATCCTTTCTTTCTGTACAGACTGACTTGCGTTACGAAGCCCAGAATCTAGAGTGCTTCCAAAACAATTTCCTGGATGTGAATTTTGTCAGGTTCCCTACTCCTCTGCAACCCTTTGTCACCAGAGATGTTCTAGTGGAAACATTTGAAGTAAGAATGAAAGGAAGTAATTTTACATATAAAGTGTATGTGTGTACATTATGTGTAATATACTTGGGATAGGCCAGTGTTCATCTCTGAGAAATAGAGGCAGCATGGTATAGGGAGAAAAGGACTGACCTAGTGGTCAGTTTGAGTCCTGGCTATGACATTTACTGTTTCGGTGATTGTGGGCAAATAAGTCTTCAGAGATCCTCCTCTCTTAGCCCCAGAAAGGCAGATTTGCCTTTATATAAGGAAAAGCCTTTCCAATAACAGGAGCTATTCAGAAGTGGAATGGGCTGCTTCAGAAGACAGAAGACTTCCCCTTGCCTTTAAGCAAAGGCTGGAGGAGTGAACATTGGGAAGATACGTGTTGTAGAGAGTTCTCTTATTCAATACAGGTTAGACAAGGTGGCTTCTGAGATCTGTGATTCCTGTGGGGAATGTCCAACTTGGGAGTGTGAGGTAGTTGGAGGGAGTCAGGAGGGCAGAGAGCCAAGCAAGACCAGGGTTTAAATTCCACCTCTGATGCTGGCTGTGTAAACACAGACAAGTCACTTAACCTTGCTGAGCCTCAGTTTTGTCATCTGTAAAATGGGCAGAATACCTGTATCACCTACTTTGCAAGGTTGTTGTAAGGATTAAATGATATAATTCTCGTAAAGTTTTTTTGTCATTATGAAAATCAATGGCTATCATAATTTTTATTGCTATTATTGGAAATGAATATACCAGGATGTACCCTGTGGTATCCCAGTCAAAGACAGAGTGCTAGCTGGGCTGGATGGATCCAGGATTACTGGTCCCAGCCTGTTGTGACATAGGATCATTAAATCCCGTGATCTCTCTTGTCATACCTTCTTGGTAAGGGACTATATAAGGACTGACCTGGGTGAGTGAAATTTGGTTAAGTGTCTGCTGGGAAAGCAACCTTGATATGTTAACTAGGGAAGGGGTAGACTCTAATAAGACTCCTCTCCTCCCCGTCTTCGTGAGAGGTAGGGGCATCAAACTGACACCTTCCCTCTCTCCTTGCTTTAAGGAGAGTGTGCCTGTGTCCTGTTATCAGAAGTCCGAGATTCCCACGAAGCTGAAGGGGAAAATAGCAAAGCTGGGGATAGACATGCTTCTGAAGATGGTAAGAACTGGGATGCTGTAAAGTCCCAGAGCTCGGACTACTTGCTGGGAGAATGGACTAGGAAACGTGCCCTGCACTGAGATGAAAAGGAAGTGACATCTGTAGGTGTGCCCAACTTTAGACCCTCATGAACCAATGTCAGAATCCGAAATGAGGGCATGGTCCTTCCTATTACAAAAGGATCCCTTACTTTCTGGCTCCTGGTGGTTTCTGGTGCCACTCTCTGCCAACTGTTGGAAAGAGGGCTGCTCCACAACCTTTTAGGCCCCCTTGTGCTCCTAGAAGACCCACAGCCAGTGCTGATTGTTTGCTTGCCCCCTCCCAATGACTTTTTCTGCATCTTTGAGGGCTCAAAACAATATCCCCCTTTGCCCACCAGCAGACTGCCCCTGGTGCCCTCAACACCATCTGTCCCACTACCCATAAATGCAAACGAAGGGGAATGGTCCAAATGTAATTTTTAAGATTATAGTTAGTTGAGCACCATTAATTGGACTATTTGAAAGACTGATTAGAATCAGTGAAAAGTCTAAAATATGAGATGTTTTAAAGAAGTTGTGTTACTTTTAAGCACATATGATTATGAAAATAAGGTTAATAAGGTGCTACCAAATTTTTCGAGGTCTTAGGTGACCTAAGATTTGTGTTGTTTTAATGAATGGATAAGAATCATTTGTAATTGGCATATTATTAGTTCAACTTCAGAAGTTCAGATAAGTGCTGAGAAAGCGCTTTAACATAATTATGGGTTAAATAATCCCTTATCTAGTTTATAGTCTTATTTCATCTAGAGGATACCTTTTCCCCATCTTCCAGATAAAATCAAAGCTAAGCATCAATCTCACCAGCCCCTATCTGCATGGTGGATTTTTTATTGATGAGGTCCTAATTAATGAGACTTTATGGTATTTGTTATTAGAAACAGCATGATGTAGAGTGGGCCCTAGAGTCAGAAGACCTGGGTTGAAGCCCTATCCCTGATACCCTGGCAAGTCACTTAATCTCTCAATGCCCCAGGCCACTCTCTTGGACCACAAGGTACAGACAGAAAGCTAATCTCCATTAATAGAGAGTGTCATCATTAGGAGTTGCTTTATACCAATGAAATCAGAGATCTAGTACAAAAATGTATTTGTACACGTACCATTAATGTGGATAACTGAGAACTGAACACAAATTTAAAAGAATTTTCCCCTCGGCAGTGAGGTGGTGGGCCTCACCTATTCATGATGTGAATCCCTTTCCAGATATTTGTTGACAATTTTGTCCACGCCGACCTACACCCTGGGAACATCTTGGTCCAGGGAGCAGACTTTCCTAAGGACAGCCAAGACCAGAGGAGCCTGGGGGACATGTGTGACACCCTGATGTCTGAAGTAAGACCCACTTCTTCCCCACTGACGCTGGTCCTGCTGGATGCAGGCATTGTGGCGGGGCTGCAGGCAGCCGACCTGAAGAATTTCCGGGCAGTCTTCACTGCAGTGGCCATGGGGCAGGTGAGACTTGTGGTTCATGGAGTGGTCAAGCAGAGGGTCTGAGCACTGATTTTATTCCAAGAGTTGTGGATTCTCGAGCTCTGCCATTCAACTTGTAATGCTTATAAATGTCCAATTTTACCTGGAGGGCGTGGGCTTTAAAATATCTGGAGCTCAATGAACCTTAGGAGGCTTCTTTATAAATAAGGAAACTGAGGCTAAGAGATAGTAAATGACTTGGTCACACCAGTAGTGAAGGTTAGTGGCAGGATTTGAACTCAGGTTCTCTTGACTCCAAGGCCAACTCTATCCACTGCATCTCCTATCCACAGACACAGACACAGACACACACACACACACAGACACACACACACACACACACACACAGAGTGCGCGTGTGTATATATTAAGTATGTATATATATTTGCATATGAGCAGCTAGGTGGCGCAGTGGATAGACAACTGGGCTTGGAATTAGAAGGACTCATCTTCATGAGTTCAAATTTGTCCTCAGACACTTACTAGCTTTGTGACCCTGGGTAAGTCACCTAACCCTGTTTGCCTCAGTTTTCTCATTTGTAAAATGAGCTGGAGAAGAAAATGGGCAACCACTCCAGTATCTTTGCCAAGAAAACCCCAAATGGGTCACAAAGCGCTGGGCATGACTGAAATGACTGAACAATAACAACGATAAAATATGTGTGTCTGTGTGTACGAATACACATACATACATACATACATACACACAGATACACGTGTGTACATGTATATATAAATCCTTAAGATTTCCTTACACTCTAATAGAATTGTTTTGCCTCCAAAACAGCTGATGGTATATGCTGTGGTGAAAACTTGCCATGGAGGGGACTGCTATAATTTTACTAAAGGGAAAAAGACTGTGGTCCCAGAGACATCACATAAAATTTTAGAGCCGTGAGGGATCCCCATTTTACAGATGGGGAAATTCATACTCAGAGATTTGCCCAGGCCTAAGCAGCTAGGTGATGCAGTGGATTGAGTTCTTGGCCTGGAGTCAGGAAGAAGGGAGTTCAAATCCAGCTCAGACACTTACTAGCTGTCTGATCCAGGGCAAATCACTTAACCTTTGTTTGCCTCAGTTTCCTCTTATGTAAAATGGTAATAATAAGAGCATCAAATAAGATAACTGGCAGAGCACTTATCACAAATGCTTGTTTCCTTGTCCCTCTCTCCCTACCAGAATTACACAGTGAGTATGAGAGGACCAGAACTGAAGTCCTTCCTGACTCCAAATAAGTCACCTGCTTTCTCCTCCACCCCCATCATATGGCCTCTCAAATCGTGCCACACACAAAACACTAGTTATTCTCTCTTATTTTTCCCTCGTGGCATATATTTTGCCACAGAGGGAAATCATTCTTCCCTTTGAGGCCATGGATGCTAAGCGTGTGGCATACTGCCTGGTCCCACTGGCTGCTTGGGCTTTTTGTAACAGACCTGTGGTGGTTTGTGGGTGATTTGGGGGCATAAAACTGAAAAAGACTGGGCATCTAAAAATAGAATTATATTTGGAATAGGTGAGAGAATAGGACTGTGAAGGAAATTTAGGCAGCTAATTCTCTATGAAAGTTTTTTAAGTAGCAGAAGTGCCCAGTGGGATGCGGGAGTCAGGTTGTTGTTATTGTTCTTCAGATACTTCAATCACGTTTGACTCTTCATGACCCCATTTGGGTTTTCTTGGGAAAGACACTGGAGTGGTTTGCCATTTCCTTCTCCAGTTCAATTTACAGATGAGGAAACTGAGGCAAAGAGGGTTAAGTGACTTGCCCAGGGTCACACAGCTAATAAGTATCTGAGGCTGGATTTGAACTCGGGAAGAGGAGTCTTCCTGATTCCAGGCCTGGTGCTTTATCCACTGTACCACCTAGCTGCCCTTGGGAGTTAGGTTCCAGTTTTATCCTGGGTTCCTATAATGTATCTGAGGGTATGCTGCGGGGAAGGTGAAGCGCATACAGATGAGACAGGTGAGATGCAACGTGACGTAGTAGAGTACTGGACTTCGAGTCAAGAAGACCTGGGTTTAAATCTTACCCCAGACAATTATTAGCTCTGTGGACTTTGGAAGGTCATTTAACCTCCTCTTCCTCGGTTTCCTCATCTGTTAAACAGGAGGTTAAACTGAATAGTTAAAGTCCCTCCCAGCTCTAAATCTGTGACCCCATATTGGTGAGTCGCATGCCCCAAGTCTTCCAGTATCCATATGATTAAGGGAGATGGGAACTGAAACTGACTTTTCTCCTAATGCCAACACCTTCGAGGAATGGCACTTACAAGCTTTCTCTTTACTTGTGGTCTTCAGGGTGAAAGAGTGGCTGAGCTCATCTTGCATCATGCCCGGGCCAATGAGTGCCAGGATGTGGAGAAATTCAAAACCGAGATGGCGGTGCTAGTGACCCAGGCCAGGAAGAACACCATTACCCTGGAGAAGGTAGGCAGGCCATGAGACGGGGACACAACCAAAGCAGGAAAGAACCCTCTTCTTAGGCTTGGTCAGTGCTTTCTTTCTCTGATAGGACAGAGAAAGAGCTGGGGAGAGGAAGAGATGTTTCCGACTGAAGGACTTTGTGGTCTCTGTTTTAAGGCAGATCAATCCAATCTAACCCCAATAAGCATGCTAAGTGCCTAATATTTGCAAGGCACTATGCTAGGATAAAAAAAAAACAAACAACTCAGCATTCCCTTCCTTCAGGGAGCTTACATTCTTCGTGGTGTGGGGGGAGAAACAGTAAAATGAAGGACATAGGAAGTCGCCACGTTTTCCTCCTTTAAGTCTTCCAGCCATAGGTCATTAGGCACTCTGGGTAGGTCTCTTGGAGACAGAATGTTAAAGAAATCTGGCATCAGAGGGCCTGATCACACTTCTGATGTTTACTACATGTGTAACCTTACTATATGTGTGACCCTGGGCAAGGATTTTCCTGGGCCTTAATTTCCTCATCTTTAAAATCAGGGGGTTGGGCTAGATGGCTTCTAGACCCATAAGCCTATATTTAAGTAAATTAATAGTTCACTTAAATTATGTAAGAAAATGACCACAGGTCAGCTCTGGAGATACAGCTGGAAGGAGGACCAGTCTTCTTATTCCTTCTAGTGACTTTTTTGTTGTTTTTTGTGTGATGGGAAATGCATGGAGGTGATCTGTAGGGTCTTTTGCCCCGAAGAGAGAAAGGATCCTTAGACTGAACAGTTTTAAGATCCCCACCCCTACCCCTTTCCCCCCTGTTTAAACTAGCCCTCCTGAATAAAGCAGTCACATGGACTTCAGGGACTGGGGAGTCCCTATACTCTTCTTGAGCAGTCAATGAGCTCCTCTTCTTTCCTGACCTTTTTTTTGGTGTGTGTGGGGGGGGGGCGAGGAGGGAAGTGGTACTTTCTGGCTGTGTAATAAGGTTTGCTTTTCCTAACAGCTTCAAGTATCAAACCTTCTCTCCAGCGTCTTTAAGTTGCTGATGACCCATAAGGTAAGCCCAGACTCTAAGCTGGACCTTCTGCCTACAGGCATGGGCTTAAGAATCACCAGAAGGGTACCCTAAAATTGGGCTGCGCGGTTGCAGCAACCTGATGGTACAAACAGGATTTGGCCAGGGAGAAGGGGATATTTAGTTTAGGTAAGAATAAACTCTTGTAAAGCACTTTAGTAGCGGCAATTCAAAAATAAATTGGGCTAAGAGTTACAAAGGATAAATAGTGTCTAGCATATAGTCGGCACTTAATAAATACTTGTTAATTGACTACTACCCATTAGAGCAGGTACCAAAAACCTCTATACCCAACCCTGTTAACCTGGTTTTTGTTTTGATAAGGAATTGGAAGTAGTAAAAATTTAATGTATGCATGCATGCATGCATGTAAATGTGCATTATATACATATACATGTGTAGACATATGTATATAAATAAAAGCACAAGTCATAGAATCTCTATATACATGGGTATATATATGTTTGTATACACACTTATACATGCATGTGTATGTATATATATACACAGACACATGTCTCCTGGTTTATTGCTTTGCTGTGGCAAAGGGGCTTGAGTAGCTCAATGAAACCATGAGCTATGCTCTTCGGGTTACTTAAGACAGGTAGGTCATAGTGGAGAGTTATGATAAAAAGTGATCCGCTGGAGAAGGAAACGACAAACCATTGCAGTATCTTTGCTAAGAAAACCCCACGGACAGCTGCTGTTGTTTGTCCTTCATTCTGGAAGAGGACCGTGACCTCAGGGAAATGATGCCATGGCAGGTGAATTGGATTTAAGTGAGGGAGGGCTGTGCAAAGTCGTCACCAGCCTCACCATCTTCTCCGGAGCCATCTGGATCCAGTGCTGAGATATAGATCAGGACCACTGGAGATGGCCTTTTTAAATTAACATCTTTCCCAGGTCTCGGTCTGACTGAGGCAATACCCATTCAGTGATTAAGGCTAAAGAAAAAAAAAGAAAAATGTACAATTAGATTGGGACTGGTCGGAGTTCATAGTGTTAGAGAAGCTATAGGGTGAGGCAGTGCGTGGAGGGTATACACCTGAAAGGATGAAAGTGCCACTGAGGGCACTAGCATGTATATGATGAGACTTTAAAAAGCACTGCTCTGCCTCTGTTCTTGCTATTTCAGGTCAAGCTCGAGAGTAACTTTGCCTCCATTGTCTTTGCGATCATGGTGTTAGAAGGGCTCGGCCGCTCCCTGGATCCCAAACTGGATATCTTGGAGGCAGCCAAACCCTTTCTTCTAAAAAACTCGGCATTTCCCCCCTGGCTGCAATGGTGAAGGCATGGGGTTTCACCAGGTAAATGCCAGCATCGCTCATGAAGCTATCCTGGGACAGCCAGGGCACCATCTTCCTTTCATTCTGGGTTGGTTCCAAGAAGGCTGACTGCTAGACTCTGAGACAACTTGATTGGCTGAAGTACATGGGGAAAGGAACTTGTCAATACCCTAAGTACTAGTACTTTATTAGGCCAGGGCACCCTGGCTGATGTGAATGAGCTGACTGTAAAAGAGAATGAATACTTTCCTTTACCATCCCCACCCCAACATACACAGACACATTCACTCTCTGTCTCTCTTTTGGGCTTAAGGTCCATGGCAGCTAGATGGAGAAGTGAATAGAGTCCCAGACTTGGTCTCAGGAGGGGTGAGTTTGAATCCTGCCCCTGTATAATTTACTTATCCTTCCTTAGTCTCATCTGTAAAATGGGGATAACTGTACCTACCTCACAGGGGTGTTGTGAGGCTCAAATGAGTTAATATGTCTAAGGAGCTTTTCAAATCTTGAAGTGCTAAATATATATATATAATCAGCTATAATTATTATTATGATATTAATAAATAAGGGTAACATTGTCAGTGGGGATTACAACATTGTTTAGCATTTGTTAAGGAGCATGCTATTACTGAACACAACATAAGTCTGGGGGTACTACAGACAAGGAGCAGGGAAGTGGTGGCCCCTTTCCTCTGAATAACATACGGCATGTATGCCATATGAAAAAAGAGAATTCTAGGCTATCACCTTTCTCCTTTTCCCCAGTTACAGAGTAATCTCCATTTCTTTCCTTGTAAGCACAAAATAGGATTTTGGTTAGTGTATACATTACTGTGAGAAGCAGCATGGCTTAGTGGTTAGAGACCTGGATTCAAGTGTCGCCTCTAACACATACTAGCCATTTAACTGGACAAATTATTTAACCTCTCAGTGCTCTGGGGGTGCCAGGGGGCGCCACAGTGCAAAGTGCTGGGCCAGGAGTCAGTAAGCAGAGTTCAAATGTGACCGCAGACATTTCTTAGCTGTGTGACCTTGGGCAAGTCACTTAACCTCTGTTTGCTTGCCTCAGTTTCCTCAACTATAAAATGGAGACAATAAGAGCACCTACCTCACAGGGTCGTTGGGAGGATCAAATGAGATGTTTGTAAGATGGATATTACAGTGCCTGGCAATATAATAAATTAATAATAATAAGATGCTTTTATTATTAGATTTGGTGGTGTGAGGCATTATTTAGGATAACATTATATATTAGGGTAGTACTGTTATTATCTTCCAATGATCCCATACTCTGACTGCTCTTCAAGAAGAAAACATAGGGGAATGGGGAAAAGCCTGTTTGGGCTTGTTGAAGATTCACCTTTGGCACTTGTGAGATTGTAAGCTCTAGGAGGGCAGGGCTGGTATTATCGAAATTTGTATCACTTTAATTGCAATGACTGATTTTGGTGCCAGAGTATGGAATGTGAAATATACTTTACCTCTCTCTGGGTAGAGAGGTGGGAGATTACGGGAACATTTAGACAAATGCTGTCATTTTTACTTAGCTGTTTGTTACAAGAAAGGGGTGTGTGTATATATGTATGTGTGGTGGGGGTTTTTGGGATATGACTATGATTCTGGTTTAAAAAACGGAAGTTTTTTAAAAAAAAAAGCTTAAAAAGTATAACCCTCCCACTACCTAGTATGGTGCTTTCTGAACAGCAGGGACTTAATAAGGAGTTTGTTGAATTGAATTGAATAGCTGGGCCTGTTGGATGGTCAGAAAATACCATATTAGTTCAAATATAAACTACACTCCACTCCCCACCCTCCATGTGGTTTGTACAAAACCTGCATTGTAGCTGTTCTTAATGCTCTTCGTAAAAGAATAAAGTGACAAAGATGAAATGACAGTGACGATAATAAAACATCTTTACTTGAATTAAAAGAAATGTAAAATAGAACATTCACAGTAAACATTAATATATGGTAATGGCAGATATTAATTTTTCACTGTCTTTTTCCTTGCCTTTTCCTTCTTCAGACTCTAAGTACTCTGATCTGACCTAGGGATTGAATGAGCTTAAGGACCAGTGGGCCCTCTATCCTTGCACTGCACCCGTAGCATTTCTAGGTCTTTCTTGTGCCTTGAACAAGAACCTTATGTGTTGTCTCCCTCAATGATATTATGAGCTTGTGGAGAGCATGGACCTCTCATTTTTCCTATTTGTATCCCAACTGTTTAGTATAGTAAGCACTTAACAAATGCCTATTTATTCATTCAATCATTGAATACACTATTCTGGTCCAATAGTTCCCAGTAGTGTCTTAAGGAGAGAGGTATATTTAATTATCTGTTCAAAATGAGACTTTTATTTAGTTGGCTACATTTTCAACCCTTTTGATCATGTTTAGTTCCTGGTGGGATGAAGACACCGTCTATCTGCAGATGATCAGCAGCAGACCTTATGGCAATCCTCGCTTTAGAAGACATGGACATGGCAGATTGTGGGAGTTAAGTTCCACCTACACTGAGCTGTGGTTCTGACAAGCGGGGCCCAGGGGAGGTTGTTTTGGAAAGTGATATATTATAGGGCTGACTATGGAGTTAGGAAGACCTAGTTTCAAATCCTGCTTCAGGCATTGAAGCTGTGTGGCCCTGGGCAAATCACTTAACCCATGTGAGCCTCTGCAAGGTGCCTTTCCAGGGCTCTTTAAAGCAGTCCCTTCCTTCTGAGATTATTTCTAATTTACCTTGTTTATTTCTTGCATCTACATAGTTGTTTGCATGCTGTCTTCTCCCTTAGAATGTGAGTTCCTAGAGGGCAGGAACTGTTTTTGACTTTCTTCACTCCAGGAATTAGCACAAGTTCTGGCACACAGAGCTTAATAAATGCTTGCTGATTGTTTATGAAGATCAACTGAGGTTTAAAGTGAAATACCCATGTTGTTCGGTCCTGTCTGACTCTTCATGACCCCATTTTCCCGGTTTTCCTGGCAGAGATACTGGAGTGGTTTCCCATTTCCCTCTCCAGCTCATTTTACAGATGAGGAAAATGAGGCAAACAAGGTGAAGTGACTTGCCCATGGTCACACAGCCAGGAAGTGTCTGAGGCAGCATCTGAACTCAGGTCTTCCCGACTCTCGGCCTGGCACTCTATCCACTGAGCCACCTAGCTGTCCTAAAAAAGCAACCTATATGGTAGCTACTACTACCACTTACAATTATCATCACCACTACTGCTACTACTACTACTACTACTACTACTAGTATTACTAGCACTTCCAGCTCTAAATCTGTGACTCCATGACACCTACAATGACTATTTTGCCACAATCACCAAAGTTGCCAACCCGATAACTTTATCTGTGCTTTGGACAATTTAGTCAATGCATGCTGGGGGCTATAACAGTTTTCATTCACTGGGAAGTAAAATAAAATTAAACCTTTCTTACGGCTCTACAACTCCAATCATACAGAGAACACACCTAGCTTCGTTTTGGTTCTAGGTCCTACAAAGTCTTCCTACCCGCGTCTCCTCGCGTGGGGGTGGGGCAGTGGGCAGGCGTGGTTACAGGATACGTCACTCCAGGGCCACGGATAGCGTCAATGTTGCTAGGAGATCATCTAAGTCCGCCCAGGACTGAACCACTGCAGAGAGCTCAGGGACAGACAGGCTACTTCTCGCCCCCTCCGCGGCCGACTAGCACCTACTCAGAGGAGACGTTACCGGAACGCCCCAGGAAGAAAGACGCTTTCTCTGCTAGAAGACCAGCAGGGGCCCTGCTGCTCCCCGCGACCACATCCTGAACCCCCTTCCCCTCACGAAGCGGGAGACATAGTTGGGTCCGAAACTGGAAGAATCCATTCGCTTCTATACCGGGGGGGGGGAAGGACGCAGTGACAAGAATGAAGAATCAGGGCTTCTTTCCCACTTGGCTGAAGTAGAGCATTGCAAACTCCAGCGTGGCCCCCCGAGCCGCGTCCACGCTTGACTGACTGAGGGTCTCGCGAGCATCTTCTGAAATGACTGGAGACACCCCCGCCCACTACGCCGGCGGGGGAAGTGACATCTGGGGAAGGGGCGGAGTCAGATCGCGGCGGCTCCGGAGCGTCCTGTCCCGGCTCTGCAGACTCCGGAGGTCATGTCGGCGCTGAGGCGGCTGGGCCCTTTCCTTCGCGAGGGAGGCCGGCGCTTCCTGGCGGGTCCAAGCGAGCGGTCTGCTGGTTACGGCCTTGGAGGAATCCGGCAGTGAGTTGTTGACTGGTGGATGGAGGGCTTTTCGGTAGCGTCGTTCTGTCCCCGGGTCTGCCGTCACCTTGAAGGGCGCTTTAGATGGGACTACAAATCCCAGGATGCTAAGCTGAAGCACCTTGCCTCCGCCGCAGGGCATTGTGGGCCCTAGTGGGGAGGCGGTGATTGGACCACCCCGACTTTGTGCTCTAGTCTCGTCTTCGCCAGCGCTCGCTGCTCCCTCTTTTCCCCTCCCCCCTCTTGTTTTATCTCCCCCCCCCCCGCCGTGCATTAGTAGAATCTATGCAATGGCAGCCCTGAAATGGGTAGACGACCGAGGCCAAACCCATCATTTTAGGAGGAAATAAGGAAACCAAGCCCAGAGAGGGGTTACTTTTGAGGCAAGTCAGCAAGCAGTTATTTATTGAGTGCTTATTATGGTCCTATGTTCGTTCATTCATTTAATAAACATGTATTGAGCGCCAGCTATGTGCAGGCACTGGGCTAAGCGCTCGGCATACAAAGAATGGCAAAAGAGCCTTGTCCTCCGGGAGAGCTCACAATCTAATGAGGGAGATAACATGCAAGCAGCTACTTGCAGACAATATATTTGGGATTCATTTATTCAGTAAACTTGTATTTAAGTGCCTGCTATGTGTCAGGCACTGTATGAAGCACTAGGGATACAAAGACAGCCCCCGCTTTCGAGGAACTAAGAGTCTAATGGGGGAGACCACAGGCAAACAATCACGTGCAAACAGTATATTCAGGATAAATTGGATATAATCATGGAGGGAAAGCTCTAGCACTAAAGAGGATTGGGAAAGGTTTTTTGCAGAAGATGAGGTTTGAGACTTGAAGGAAAATAGGAGGGAGAGACAAAGAGGCAGTGCATTCCAGTCGTGGAAGACAGCCAGTGATGGAATGTCATGCTCCAGGAAGAGCAAGAAGGCCAGTCTCACTGGATCTTGGAGTATATAGAGGGAGAGTAGGGGCAGTTTATGAAAGGCTTTGAATGCCAAAAAGAAGATTTTCTCTGATACTGTCACCATCCTGGTGCCTGGACTATCGCAAAAGCTTTCTAGTTAGTCTCCCTGCCTCAAGACTCTTCAGAACTCTCCACTCATCTGTTAAACTGATCTTCCTAAAATGTAGGTCTGACCATGTCACCCCGCCCCCTTTCAGTAAACTGTAGTAGCTTCCTGTTAACTACAAGATCATATAGAAAATCCTCACGGGCTCTGGGCTTTTGCACTGGATACAAGAGCTGGAATTTACTCCCTCCTCACCTCCATCTCTTAGAATCCCTAATTTCCCTCAAGGTTAAGTCGAAGCACTACCTTCTACATGAAGCCTTCTTTACCTGGTGCTTCAGCTACTTTCCCCAAAAGTCACATTGTATATGTTTTCTATCATAATGCCATGTCCACAGTGAGCATGTAATCAATTTTTGTTGGGTTTAAGTCCTACTGAACCCAGGCCATCCTGTCTCTCCTTTCTCTTGCAGTATATCTGTTTTAGCTGTAGTCAAGCAAGAATATTTTCCAAACCAAAGAAAAGTTATTTTTCTTTGCCTCTCTCCCCTAAATATTTTGGAGAATATATAAAATTTTAATAAGAGGGGAGTATAGGTATGAGGTACATTTATCTAGGTCTAGGATCTCATTAATGTTGAAGTTCCATCTAGTGTTGCAGTTTGCAACCCATTCATTCCTGTTGATCCTGTGATTCGTGTCCATGTCCTCCCATAAATCTGCTATAGGAGGTGCACCCGCCTTGCAGGAGGTCTTCCTTGATATAATAATTTATCAGAATGAAACTTCTTTATTATAATAATTATGCTTCATATTGCCCTAGTACTTGAGAATTTATAGAGCATTTTTGCATCTCATTTGATCCACATTTACCACAACCCTGTGAACTGCAGTTGGGGCAAGTGTATTTGTGAATTCATTTGGTTGCTGGAGATTTGTAATTCTGAAAAATCAAATGCATGGCTGATGTAACAAGCACTTAAAAAAGTTCTTTTTTGAATTATAGTGCTGGAGGTGGTGTACACATTGAGCCCCGCTACCGGCAGTATCCTCAACTGACAAAATCTCAGGTGTTCCAAGCTGAGATGTTAAGTGCTACGTTGTGGTTTTGGATTCTTTGGCATTTTTGGCATGACTCAGATGCTGTAGTGGTAAGCTTTGGAATATAATATTTTTATTTGTGAATATTGCCAAACATTCAGAAACTTTGTTCTGTATCCTTCATTATCGTTCATGATTTGTAGATGCCAATTCTGCTTCTCCTATAGAGTATAAATGCCATACTAGTTCAATCTGGAATTGTCTGATGGGAGTAGCAAGGGGGACACTATGGGAGCTCATGCTTGCATTCTAGGACATCAGTTTCAAAAGTTAGGGATGAACTATCAGATATCTTCGCTTTCTTTAACACAATCAGTTATGAGTCAGAGTCCCGAGATACCTAAGATACAAGATATCTAAACTGAAGGTTCTTAATCTGCAGGGATTTCAAGGGGACCTTGAACTTGGATGGGAAAAGAAAACACACTGATTTTTACTAACCTCTAACTGAAATCTGGCATTTCCTTCAGTTATTTAAAAAACATTCTGAGAAGGGGTCCATAGGCTTTGCTAAAATATCAGAGGGGTCCATAACACAAAAAAGATTAATTTATTTTTTAATTTATATTTTCAGCTTCTTGTACATTTTTTTTGGGGGGGGAGATCAAAAACTTTTATAAATTTGCTGTCATTTTTGTGTTGAAAATAATAGGATCTTGGGGTCATAGATTGAGAATTTGAACTTTAGAAGTCAAGTAGATCAGCCCACTCATTTTACAGATGAGGAAACTGGTCAAGATCACCCATGTAGCAAGTGGCAGAGCTGGGATTTGGAGTTCAGCCCTCTGACCCCACATTCAGCACTCTTCCCATTATGCCACATTGCTTCCCATCTTGTCTAGAAAGATGTTATGAGAGACTGTCAAGAGGTCTTGATAAAATCTAGGAATACTCCAGCTGCGACATTTTCCTAATCTGTCAGTATAGTAACCTTGTCAAAAAAGATAATAAGGTTAGTCTGGTATGACCGTTCTTGATGAACTGATGGCTCTTCTTGATCACTGCTTCCTTTTCTAAATTCTTTTTTATAATACATTCTAATAGTCTTGAATGTCCAACATAACCTCTTGTCAGATCTTCAAAGGTGGGATCAGAAGGTGTTGTTAGGACCACTAAGAAATAGTTCCTGAATAAAAAAAGCCACAAAACAGTGGCTATGTCATGACCAAATAAATTAGGTTCTTCTTGCATGATGGTAGAGCTTAAGGGTCAAGAGATAATAGAATACATTATCAAACTAATTGTTTTCCCCGTTTATGAGCCATCTTAGCAGCTTAGGGAGATTGCTACAAGTCACTGCATATAAACCAGCTAAAAGGAAATTATCTGATTTGGAGTCAGCTCCTGTTTTGCTGTTTGAACAGTTACTAATGGGGCTAGGATCATCTCAAAGGACTAGCTGGATGAGGACTGATCCCTGTGGCAGTGTAGTTCTAAAGTTCAGTCTGTAGTCTGGGTCTCTTTTTAAGGTCCTGTCCAACTCTGTTTTTTGACAAGGTTACTATACTGACAGATTAGGAAAATGTCATAGCTGGAGTATTCCTAGATTTTATCAAGACCTCTTGACAGTCTCTCATAACATCTTTCTAGACAAGATGGGAAGCAATGTGGCATAATGGGAAGAGTGCTGAATGTGGGGTCAGAGGGCTGAGCTCCAAATCCCAGCTCTGCCACTTGCTACAGAGTTGGATTCTGTTTAATTTTAAACTCAGAATATATGATAAGTGGGCTTTTCACTTTCCTTCAAGCTTCAGTGGCTTCCCTTTAGTATTCTGCTTTTTGGTAAACAAATTCATACTTACCCTATCTGTCCCCATCATGATTTCATAAACTTTTCTTGTGTTATGTCTTAGCTCTTGTCTTTCTGGACTAAAGAGTTTTTCCTTTAGTTTGTCTCCCAGTGAAGCTTGCCCATCTTCATGTTATTTTAGTTCTTTCCTGAACTTTTGACAACTGATGTATGGCTTTCATGTGTTTTAGCAGGAAATGAGGTATGTCCCCTCCAGCTTTGAAATTCTTTTAATTTTCTTGTCCTAGTTTGCATGCATGAATGAATTTATTAAGTTCTTACTATGTGCAAAACACTGCCACCCCCTCAACATGCAAAAAGAAAAGGTAGTCCCTGCTCTTAGAGAGCTCACATTCTAATGGAATCCTATTCTGTGTGCAAAAGTACCATGATTTTATATAAGAATAGAGTAATGCTTTCTGGCTTATTTCTTTAAAAAGATAAATGTTGATGTCTTTTGTTTTTATGTAATCTGAATTTCCTCCTGTACCTCTTCCCTGACCATTCCGAGAGAGCTGTCCTTTATAAAGACTATGGATTTTTTAATCAAAAATATCTGATGTTATATGTAATATTCCATATTTGTCACAATACTCTACCTTTGCAAAGTGGCGGGATGAGGTATCTTCATATCTCTTCTTTGGGGCCACGCTTCTTCTTTGTAGTTTTTTTGCAACATTAATTTTTTGTTGTTTTGTGGTGGTAGTTCTTTCCATTTCCATTGTTGTAGTAGTATATATTGTTCTTGCTCTGCTTATTTTACTTTGTTATCAGTTCCTGTCTTCATACTTCTGAGTTGGGTGACTTCAGTTCTCTCAGTAAGATAAATATGTGAAATCAGGGTCCCAGTGGTGGCAAGAGGGAAGAAGAAAAGGTTTGGAATAATCTTTAGATTAGATAAGGAGCTGATAAAGGTAGAGTAAAAGGACTGTTGAACAGCATTGAAGTGCCAGCTGATATTATGTAACATGAATTTGTAGTGTCATGAAGACTGTCCTGTGGAAAGTCCAAGCATTAAAGGGATTGCTTAAAGGTGGTGAGGTTCTCCATACGTTCTTATGTGTGGGTGTCATTTTGCTGATAGGTATAGTGTCCTGGCCTCTTCATCAAGAGCTGAGGCCGCTCAGAGATCAGCGTAGCAATCCACATAGGAACAAACAAATGTATGAAGAATGCATATTGTCAAGGTTGTAGTGAATTATTCTGTCAGTACATATATCTTGGGCACCTAGGTGGTGCAGTGCTTGAAGTCTGGAGGACCTGAGTTCAAATTCGGCCTCAGACACTTACTAGCCCTGTGACCCTTCAGTATCTTTGCCAAGAAGAACCCAAATGGTGTCATGGAGTTGAACACGACTGAAATGACAACAAAAAACATATGTCTTGGATAACCTCTACAGGTAGACAATAAACTGGGTCCAGCATTGAAGAAGAGCAGGCTAGACTGTATTTGGGACATCATATAGTGCCTCCAGTCAGCCAGTCTGTGCTTTACGAAGATGGAGAGGTAAAGAATTCAGTCTGCAACAGACCTGAACGGGCCATAAATAGAAGAAAAGTTAGGACATCAAACAGGTAAAGCAGTAGCGTTCAGTCATCAAATATGAAAGGGGACCAAGGAAAAGGAGGAGTGCCAGAGAAGCGTGCAACCAATTAGAGGGGTCATTGTCTCTTGGGTAGATAATACTGTTTCTCACTATTTTATGGTTTGTTTGTTTTTAATTTGTTTTCTCTAGTTTAATGGATGCTTGATTTTTTTTTAAAATTGTTTCCACCAGGGTCATTTTCCATATCCAGATCCTTCTCAATGGACAGATGAAGAATTGGGTATTCCCCCTGATGATGAAGACTAAAGCAGTGTCATCACTAGTACAAGTAGGTGCTACCAAGCACCACATTTCCCAGGAATTACAACTACCTTTCAAATTTAAAAAAATGTGTAATTGATGTTATTCTTTTTCACCATGATTGTCATTTCACAATAAATAATCCCCCTTCCCCCCATAGACTCTTTTTTTTAAAATAACAAATGAGTGCAGTAAAGGAAAACACTTGGCTACATCTTAAAACGTATGCCTCGTTCCGCACCCGTAGAAAACCACCTTTCTTCAGAGAGGTTAGAGGCATGTTTCACCATCAGTTCTCCTAAGTCAGGATTAGACAGTGCATTAATCAATCAGAGTTGTGAAATCTTTCAGTGTTATTTTATTTTATGTTGTTATGGTCATTTTGGAAATTGTCTTCCTGGTTCTGCTTTTTTTGCCCTAAATTAGTTCATACAAGTCTTTCTCAGTTTCTCTGAATTCTTTATAGTCTGATGTTACAGTATTCCATACAATCTTATAATATGATTTGTTCAGCCACTTATCAGTCAGTGGACATGCATTTTTCTGGTTGTTTGCTATTACAAAAAGTGCTGCTGTAAATATTTTTGTATATATGGGACCTTTCCCTCCTTCTTTGATTTCCCCAGGATATATGTGTGGTATCACTGGGTAAAAGGGTATGTACAGTTTAGTGACTTTTAAGAAATGTTTTGTAAGGATTTTGTAGTTTAGTGACTTTTTAGGAAATTGTTTTCAGGACTAATTCACAGCTGTACCAGTGCTGTATTAGCGTGTCAGTCTTCCTGAAACCCTCTGTCACCATTTTTCTTTTGGCCACCCTGCCAGGTGCAGCTTGAGTTACTTTAACTTGCATGTGTCTTATGTGTAAGTTGGAGTGTTCTCTCATATGTTTGTTGATAGTTTGCATTTCTTCTTTTCAAAACTACCTGGCTTTTGTTTTTATATGCTTGTCCCTAAATAGCTTAGATATTTGTTATAAAAACTTTTCCCCCAATTAATTGCTTCCCTTCTAAGTGTAACTGTGTTAGTTTTGTTCTTACAAAAACCTGTTGATTCTGTGTAGTCAGAATTGTCCATTTTGTCTATTGTGATTCTCTGTTCCTTGTTTAAGGATTCTCTCCCTGGCCATAATTATGGCAGGCATCTCCTTCCATTTTCCTCTAATTTTTCTATGATGTGACCATTGTATATTTAGATAATGTGTCCATCGAGAGCTTCTTGTGTTCAGTGATGGACACAATTAACTTTTGAGGGATGTGCATTCCTCTCGAGATGATCTCTCAGAAGTAGGCTGCACACTGTACAAGACATGAAGCAGAATGAACCATATCACTTTATTTCTGCTTCTGTTCTCATTTCTTTTTTCTCCTGAGCTCTCTCATTTTTTCTAAATACTTTTCATTAAGTACTCCCTTATTTTGGTTCTGTTCTTTTTTAAAACACTAATTTGTTAGAATTTTGTCCTCCCCTATTTATGCTGAGAGTTGCAGATCTCCAGTGTTCCGCCATCTGCCTTTGGTGGCAAAAATCTAGAGTTCCGACCCCCTGGAAAGCTATTTATTAGGACATGCGTCACTTAAGAGTGCAGAAAATCAGAGCTGCTAGGTGGCACAATGGATAGAGCACTGGCCCTGACGTCAGGACGTCCTGAGTTCAAATCCAGCCTCAGACACAATACTCACTAGCCTGTGTGACCCTGGGCAAGTCACTTAACCCTGATTGCCTCACCACAAAAAAAAAAGTGCAGAAAATCAGGGTTTTTTTCTCCCTTTTAAAGTAAGGATACTGAAAAGATCCTACCCTCCACCCCTGTCCCCCAAACAACAACAATCTCAAACTGTATTGCTTGGATTTAGCTAAGAAATCTTAGTGGATACTTATGGAACATTTACTGTGTACTAGCTAATTACTGTAAAAATTTAAACACATTAAAAATTTTGATGATGTTCCAAATCTAAGGCTGTAAAGTATTTCAAAGTCAGTGGTTTAGTAAGTTAGTTAGATGTTTGTCTTTTCAGGATTTTGAGGGCAGAAATAGCTAAAATTTATATAGTGCTTTGAGGTTTGCATAGCACTGTACATCTGTTATTTCTTTTGATCCTCACAACAAGCCTGTGAGGTCGGTGCTAGTATACCTATTTTACAGATGAGGGAACTGAGGCTGAAAAGATTAAGGGATATGCACAGGGTCATACTAGCAAATATGTGAGGCAGGATCTGAAGTCAGACTTCCTCATCCCAAGTCCAGTGCTTCTATCTGGTTATGTTTTCACTCCAATAAATGGACTTCTTATATGGAAATAGTATGTTTTGAGGGGAGCTCAAGGGGCGGGTTTCTGTGGTTGCCTTGAGGTGACATCTCAGACAGATGTTGAGCTTCTTTCACAACTTGTCTCATGGAGGATGCAAGATGCTGTTGTGTTACTATGTGTAGAATTCAGTGTAGTCATGTAGATAGTGGTGAATCCCAGGCTGTAAGGGATGAATAGCTGTACATAACATTTCAGAGTGATCCCTCCAGAAAGAAAGGCTTTTGTTTGAAACCCTTTCTCAGTGTCTTTAGGTTTAAGCCAGCCTAAGTTTTTGTGCTAAGGGGACCTGTTTCCTAGGGTTCTGCAGAACTGGGAGGTCCCTGTGATGTATTTCTTTCAGGGTGTAAACTGGTTTTTACATAAGAGATGAAAAAAAATAAACTTCATGGTAAAAATGGTGTGTTCAGATGCTCATTAAACTTATTTTCCTTCATTTCTAGTGAGTGTAGGAATACATAGGGGGAATAGCATTCACTCATAGCCAAAAATTATGTTACAATTTTTCTAGCTTTCCAGTTGAGTTAAGGGGGTTGGAGAAAGTAACAATAATACCTTTAAGCAAGAAATTATTGTGGCAAAATGGGCATTTGAGAATGTGCATGTTAGGAATTTGGGGAAAAGACTGAACCTTGAGCCCTTTGGGTAGGAATAGTCTCCAGAAATCTTGAATGTGGTCCAAAATCTGTGGTATAGACATCTTTATAAAAATTCATTTGTAGGTGAGTTTCAGGCAAATTACATTTCTACCAGCCCATTTTAGATGATGAAACCAGGAAGAGGTTTCGAAAGTCATCTACTCTCTATCACAGCCTCCAGAGGGAGTGGGATAGAAGGTTACCATAGGAACAGCTTGTGTGTGTATTCACAAAGTAATTGCACATAATTCAGCATGTCTGCAATCTTTTTCTGGGCCAGTCAAAAGTAAGACTGTTCCAGTCCTCTTAGGCATTTTGGTCACCTTTTATTAGGATACCTGTGGTGGTAACTAATTCTCCCCTTCCTGACTTCCAGTTAGTCCTTATGGTCTGTACTTGCCAAAATGAACTTAATTATATTCTCTTGAATTGTCTTTTACTTTGCATGTATACAAACCTTGTTTCCATCCAAATTGTGAGCTCAGTGATTTTTTAAAAAAAATTATGAACTTAAACATCAGTAAATATAAATATGTCCATATGCTAAAAATAAAGAGAATTGTATTTGAAACCATGAATCTGTATTACATGCAGCTTGGTTTTTGTTTTAAAAATGTTATATTGAGAAGCAGGTTGGTATGGTGGGTAGAGAGCTGACCTCAGAACTATGAAGACCAGGGTTCAAGTCTTGTCTCTGATGTATACTTGCTGTGTGACCCTGGGCAATTCATTTACCTCTCAGCACTTTAGGCAACTTTTTAAGATTATAAGTTGCAGAGCAGATGCTAACCTGCAATTGGTCTTAGTTCCCTATGCCAATGAAATTACAAGTCCATTTCTGTTCCAGGATAATAGCAACTGTGTTACTTGTCTGTCCCCTTCTGAACTGCCTTCTGTGTATTTTTAATGTTTTATTTCACCTTTTTTTTTTTTGCATCTCACTTGCTAACACATTTCCCTCCTTCAGCTTTCCTCCCCACCTAGAAGAGCCCTCCCTTGGTAACAAATAAGTCAGAGTCCAGCATCTGAAATGTCTGTCTCACTCTATGCCTGTCATCTGAACCTTCCTGCCAAGATGTGGGAAACTTGTTTTATCACCAGTCCTATGGAGTCATGATTACTTATTACATTTATCAGTTCTTAAATTTTAAAAAGTTGTTTTCCTTTACGTTATACTCTTCCCCCCTGTGCTTGGCAGATAATTCAGTTCTACAAGTGTCTACATAACTAATAAGTACCATAGGTTTTAGTTAACTGGATTTCATTGGATAAAAGTATTTTAAATCCCGTTCTTCACTTATTTACCTGCAGGGGCCAGCTGTGATCTTCAGGAGAATTTATTTTGTTGGTACAGATGTGATGATGCTAATTAAAGTTAGATTCACATGAATGACAGTCTGCCTTTTTCCTTTGATGACGGATGATCTTTGTGCATAGCGAGCAAGCCTTGGGCCAACTGGATTCTAAACGTTCAGTGCGTTCATTGTGCTCCTCATCTTTTTGGAGTCATAGCTTAGAGTGGGAAAAATCTATTTCACCTATTACAAGCATATCAGTATTACTACACATTCAGTGTTTTAGTGTTGCTGTAGAAATAATCTCGTCTTTTAATCATGGTTTGATTTATGCATAACATTTAAATGTCCTACATATATGTTAAGTGCCAAACCAGTAGCTTTTAACGATAAAACAAACCAAACAGGAGAAGTTGGGAGAGACATCCTTTCTTTTTATCCTTTTCTCTGTGCCCCAGAGTAGAAGTGCTTCCTTCCCTCTGTGTCCAGGGAGTTATGGTGCGGGGAGAGTCTGACATCACTTGAGAAGATAGCAGGATAGTTAAGGGACCTTAGTTCAAATTATGGCTGTGACTCTTTATTAGGAAGAAGGTAGGGAAGGAAAGAAGGAAGGAAGCAAGCAAGTGTTTATTACATGCCTGTATGCCAGGCACTGTGCTAAGCACTTGACCTTCCCAACAACCCCAAGGAGCAGGTGCTATTAATATCTATTGTAGAGTTGAGGAGGTAGAGAGAAACAGGTTATAGCGTGACTGCCCAGGGTCACTCATCGTGTCCCATCTAACTCAGACCTTCTGCCTCCAGGCTCTAACTCCCCTGCCACCTAGCTGTTTGTCAGTAGGTAAATCACAACCTCTCTGATCCTTAGTTTTTTTCTGCTGTAAAATGGGGATAATAACTATGGAATTGTGAGGTTC